AGCTAGGCCAACTGAAAGAAGCAAATATCAGGTCTCAAAAATCAATCAGCGCTACAGATAATCAAGTTCTTCACAAAATACACTAACTGTAAGATCCTCAGTTCTACTCAATTTATGGACAGATATAGAACTTACTCATGATTAAAACTTTCCTAATCTATTTCAAGGCAATCTCTGATTGAGTTTGGAGTTTATGATTCTTGCTTTTCCTAAATTATCAGTTACTTAAAAAAAAAAAAGCCAACATAAAAATAATTATTTGAAATTATTCATACTTAGGGTTATTTTCCCCTGAAGTATAAAACATTAAACATGTACTACAAAAAGGCAACCCTAAGATTATTTTCCAATAGAGAAAAAGGGTCTCCATTAGCATTTTATCCATTTTTTAAAAAATTATTCAACAATAACATTACCACTACTTTTTTACATTATATTTATATTATTATCATTATTGCTCCCTGATCCTTTAATATATTCTGAGTGTTCAAGTTATACTCTGAAAAACAAAAATTCATCCATTAAATAATTCTAAAAGTGTGAAATACTTTAACATTACATATTATATCACTTACAGAAATTTTTGAAGGTGGTGATATATCCAAAGAGTAATCCATTTCCTGTGTGCTAAGAGTTCTGAGTGATAGTGAGCATTCGCCAATGGTTTTCTTCCTAGGGGTTTGGGTTTGAATCTTAAATACAAGTCTTACAGTTTGTAGACTTTGGAGTTTAATAGCAAATACAAAAGTTTCCATAAATTCAATAGTCTAAAATAAAAATCAAGAAAAACATAAAATATGAAAACAGAATAAAAAAGGGTCAATATAGAATAAACAAAAATAACTTTATAATCTAGGAAAGACAAATTTAATATTTTTACAATAATGAAAGATATTTTTTAATGAAAATGAGAATGGCTATGACTTGTTTTCCCAGAATTTATTCTGGATACTGCCCTTCCTAATTTCACAATTCCTTTTAATTACTTAGTCAAGAATTCAGTCAATATCAACAACAAGTTCACCAGAATATAACTTTTTCCCTTTATGAAAATTAGATTTTCTCCATCTTTGGTTCCGGGGCATCATTCCTGCTATTTACCACAGTTCTTCAATGGTTAATGAGAGTGCTTCAAGAATCTCATGTGAGATCTCTCAGTACCCAAAATCTAACTTGTTCCCGTTAAAATACTTGAATTATTTCTCAATAATAAGAAAGATTCTTTGTCTAATGTTCTTTCCATCTAATTTGAGGTTCAATTTCTCCCTTAGTGAAAATGTCTGCTCCACTCTTTCCAATCTGAAAATCAATCTCTTTGATAAGGGCAAAGAGAAATATAAGTTTAAATAAAGTTCTACCTTCTCTCATAATCTTCCACTCCAGGCAGCAAGTCAGTGTTCTCATGCCCAGACTATTTTCAAATGTTCTGTTACTTTTAATATTTTTAAAACATTGGCTTACCATGGGCTAACATCCTTGACACTAGACTATTTTTTTGCTTATAAACCTCCTTCTTTCCATCTTTTGTGCATCCTTTTGAAAAGGAGCTTTTTTTTTTTTTGCTTTTGAAAAGACAAACTGGGCAACTAATGTCAATATTTTAGATACTATGCCCAAATGTTCACTTTTATTGTAATCATTTATGTCTGTGTAGACAGAATTGTGTTTCTGAGAGCTTCCCAGCCATATGAGCTATCTTTTTCTTCCAGTCTCAAGCCATAGGATCACACTAATAATATAGTATACATACAATGTTTAATTTTTAAACTCAGATGCAATGAGCTTACAAATGAAGCAAGTGTGCTGGTTTACTTCACATTTTGCCATAATAGGGGTCTCCTAAACAACTTGATAAATATTAAATTTTAAAAGATTCCATGCAAGTTTTAATATGAGAACACTTTCCCATAATTTTCCCTAAGTTAACTTAGTCTTATTTGAATATCAAAAAGTGAAATTGTTTAATTCAGGGAGTATTCATCTGTGAATGTCAAAACTATAACTAGAGTTAAGATTTATTTACATCTAGACCATCTACAATGCACATTTTTTCCTAATATTTATATATCAGTTTTGGCTACTGCCTTTTCACTTATTAAGAACATTTTTCCATATCCTTATAAACTTTCCCTAAATAATATTTTTCATGGCTGCCTAGTATTCTACCATATGGTGTTATGGTTTGAAATGTGTCCCCCAAATAAGATGTGTTGAAGTCCTAACCTCCAGTAACTCAGAATGTGGCCTTATTTGGAAATTGGGTTATTGAAGATGTAATTTGTGAAGTTAAGAAGAGGTTCAACTGGAGTAGGTAGACCCCTATAATGACTGGCATCCTTATAAGAAGATAGCCATGTGAAGACACAGACACACATTGAGAATGCTATGTGAAGATGAAAGCCAATGAGTAGAGTGAAGCCAAAGAATGCCAAGGATTGCTGGCCATCACCAGAGCTAGGAGAGAAGCCTGGAAGAGATGGAACAGATTCTCCCTCAGAGAAGGAACCAACATTGCTGACACCTTGATTTCAGGCTTCCTCCAAAACTGTGAGAGAGGAATATTAGTTGTTCTAAGCTACCCAGTTTATGGTAGTTTGTTATAGTAATCATAGGAAACAAATACACATGGTATACTATGAGTTTTCGAAACCATTCCCCTATGGGAACCATTTAGATCGTTTCCAACTTTTCCCCTATGAACAAAACTGCTAAGAATACTTGATATATATTTTGTTTGCATTTTAGATTATTTCTACAAAACAGATTCCAAGTAGAAACACTGTGTTAAAAAGTATAAATACTTCAAGGTTTTAACGTGTATTGTCAAAATAATTTCTAGAAAGTTTTATGTGCTAGGGTGCTTATAAAATTTTCCTAATTAAAATAAGCAAAAAAAAAAAGAGAAAGCAATATGTAATTTAAATTTGTATATCTATAAATACTAGTGAGAGTAAATTTTTTCATGTTTATTAGCATTTGAATTACCTTATTTTTTAACCATTTTTATCAAAGTATAGTTAATTTACACTGCTGTGTTAGTTTCAGGTGTACAGCAAAGTGATTCAGTTTTATGTTATGTGCATGTGTGTGTGTGTGTATATATATACATATATGTATGTGTGTGTGTATTCTTTTTCAGATTATTTTCCAATATAGGTTATTATAAGATAATGAATATAGTTCCCTATGCTATACAGTAGGTCTTTGTTGCTTATCTATTTTATATATATTAGTGTACATATGTTAATCCCAAACTCCTAATTTATCCCTCCCCCCTTCTTTCCCCTTTATAAACTGTCTTATTTTTAAATGATACATTCTTGTAGAAGGTATCTTTTATTTGCATGGAAAACTACTAACCTTTTACCCTTATCAGAAGATAAAAGTGAAGATATATTTAAATTAACGTGAAACTATAAAACCAAATTCAGGATCATATGTCTTTCAGTTATAATAATTGAAGGTATTTAAAAGAAGATTGCAATCATGCAATTATTTCTCAAAGCCAAAGTAGGGTGGGAGGAGAGAAGATGAAAATATAGGCACTTACTTTCCTTATACACAAGGAGAGTAAATAGTCTTCTTAAATATTACTCATCTTCTATACATTTCAGTGATTAAGATTTTCTTTTTAAATGTATTTCAATTTTGGACAATGAAATCACAAGTATTTTGAGGCCCAAAATTGTCTTTAAAAAAGCAAAGGGTGCATAATTTGTAGTTTCCCCAAAATAAAACACTATCTTATTCCAATTCTTTATGTGAGTTAAAAGTGACAAATAAGAGAAAAATATAAAAGATATTCAAACAAAAACACTTACATTCGAGCCTTCCTTGACTGAAGATTTGAAATGCACTGGTTTGGGAAATGTTAGTATTCCTTTTATAGAAATAGTAGGAGTATCTCCACAGCTAGAGGGCCAACTTAAATCTTTGCACTAAAAAATTAAAAATACAGTTTGAGTATTACACATAACACTAACAATACAAATATTTGATGTATTTCTTGAGTTATTAACTTAAATAAAAACTATAAAGTAAACTTCAGTCTGAGACCTCTTATTTCATTTACATTATAATAATTTGACATTTAATGTTTTAGACATCATACCAATTTCCTTCTTGAGGTTAAAAACAAACATACTTCCATCATACCTACAGATTTATTTTCTTTAGATTCTTTATTAAATACTATGTTCTGCAAAATACTATACAACCCCTAAATTCCAAAGAAGGTACTGGCCCATTCCCCAGAAGAGAGCAGCAGTACTTGTGTATAATTCACAGTCTAAATATTCAATTTTGTAAGAAAAGTTGGTATTAACTATATTAACTTACCTGTAAAACTGTGATCCAGATCTGCTCAACTGAAGAATTATAAAACAATTTCACATTTAATCTCCCAAAATCTCTTTCATCTCCTGATAGAGTAATTGTATCTGAATTGTAGAAGGGCAAAGATGTTTGAGTTAGTATGCAATCCTTCCAACTCAATTGAGCTTTGATACAATCAAAAAGCACAACTGAAAAGTGTTAATTATTTTTTAATGTTGCCAATTTATTAAGACAAAAATCACACTTCAATGCTATTATTAAAATGCTAGGGAATAGATATACTATAAAAAGTACATGACTTAAAAACTTAACCCAATTATAACCTGAGAGATTTAAGTTAAAACTAAGAAACACTTTGCCAAATAACATTGATATGGCCCTAATATTGAATGCTTCTGGAAATCCCCTCATTAATATATTTTAAAACAAATGAAAGATACATAATTTAAAAGACATATTTGTACCTGAACACTAAAAAATGGACCATCTGATCTGAGTATTCATATGCAGGTAACACTGCCATCATGGATATAATCACCTAGAGTTTTTTTTTTAAACCTTATCATAAATTCATTCAAATTACTATGGTAAGAATGACTCCCTTAAGAATATAAAAGTAAGATACTTCATTCCTTACCTAGGCTTCTGTTACTCCCTTGAGAATTTTTCCTTGAAGAAGAACTACTGGGCACACTGGACAATGAATCATGTCTCTACAAATAAAATTCTTCTTTAGTCATATGTTGCAGATCAGACATTAAGGATTCTGAAACTTATTTCCCAATACCCACCACCCTAGCAAATTGAGTGCTATTCATTCTGAAGTGTTACTGGTCAGAATTTTCCACTTTTAGATAGTAAAGGGGGAAAAAGCTTTTTGTGTGTGTTATTAGGAAAATCTTAAATATCTTACTAGATAATATATGGGAAAGCCTTTGCTGTTTTTGGTTTGGTTTTACAATAAGGAAGAAGAGATTATTACTTATATTTCAAACTTGGAAGTACTAATGAAAATCAGAATATATTTGGAAGTATCCTGTTACCTAAAAATCTGTAAAGCAGCAGTTACCAAAGTGTGGGCCCTGGACCAGCAGTAGCAGTATCACCTGGGAACTTGTTAGAAATACAAACTCAGGTCCCTCCCAACACAGAGCTACTGAATCAAAAGCTCTGGTGGTGAGGCCTGGCAATCTGTATTTTAATGAGCTCTTCAAACAATTCTGATGCACATTAAAAAACTGGTGCTATAAAGAACTAATTCTGCAAAAACTTAACTGAAGATTATTTAGAATACACATCCATTTTAATATATGTATATACATTCACATGGAAAAAAGTCCACAAGTATATATAACAATATTTTCATAGCACTTTTATTCTCAGTTATAGGGATAGAGGTAATTTATCTTTTTACCTTGCTTAATTCTATTTTCTAATTTTTAAATAATAATCACAAAACTCAACAGAAGAACTAATTTTTACTAACTAGGTAGTTACTTTCAATAAGGAAAGTTAAATCAATAAGCACTTTTAAATATACCATTTTAAATTCCAACTGTCTCAAGACTGCCTCAGTGCATGCCAACTGAGAAGATTCATAAAAAAAAAAAAAAAGAAAAGAAAAGAAAAGAAAAATTATTGCCTTCTAATATTCAACTGAAGAGTTTCCTAAAATATTGCACATGGGAAATGCCAAGTGTTTATTCTTTAGATATTAGAATAAATATATCTACAAAAGATACATAACATGTTGTTCCTAAAATAATTCACACATTTCTGAATTTTTAGCTTGAAAATAAATTATTGCATATAATTAAATTTATATGAATAATTTACCTGGATGAACCGCTGAGATGAATTGTAAGATCAAACATAGACTTGCTTAGCACCGGGGAATTGGGAAGTCTATTGGTCCTTAAATCACAAACTACAAAGGAACATTAAAAAATTACTTAATTTTACAGTAAAGTAGAAGAAACACTGAAATTCTACCTAATTACCATGAACTAAATCTTTATAGGAAACATATCATGACTATTATACACAAATCTGCTTAAGAGATAAAAAGCCTTTTAATGAAGTTAAAAAAACTGCTCTTCAATTATTTTACTTTTGTTTGAAACAGAAATCAAAACAAATCAAACAACATATCTTTCAGGAAAGATATCACATCAAATATCAAGCATCAAATATCAAGCAGGAAAAATTCATTCCCTTTGCTTACATTATCCAATCCTTCATCCTGGAAGAATAATCTAAGAGGATGTATGTCCTCTGTGCTAAACGCAATTCAACTATTTAATGGTCATTTATTACATTAGAAAAATCAATATTGAATTCCATGTGCTGTTATATTTCTAGTCTCCCTCCTAAACTAAAACATACTTTAAAAATGGAATTTTGTATAAGACTTGTGTAGTCTAGCACAGTGCTGATATAAATATTTAAATAAGTACTTCTACTTTATTTTCAGTGCCTCACCCTGAATTCAGTGATTGAGATAATTATATTATCTAGTAAGATAATTTTCACTGAAAAACACTGAAAATTTTGTGAATCAGATATATGTACAAGATAGTCTATAACTGATACAGTCTCAAACATTAAACTAATAAAGTATTTAGGAATTTTCTTTTTTCTCTGTTTACGTTTTAATTTCATCATTTCTAAATTCACCATTTTCACTAAATAGAGTGAAAATAAATAGAATGAGTAAATACCTGTTGTAGAATGTATGAGTGGATAGATGTTAAATAAAGTAGATACAAAATCTAAAACTAAAATTTCTTTCAAAAAAGGTCAAATAAAATGGAACTCGGAACTACCAATATATATAACTCATTAATCTTTCAATTTTTACGTTTGCTGTAATACCACAGAGAAGTTATGATGTTTACCACATCACTCTGAAGCCTGCTTCTCTCTTTATTTTTAAATTGTTTTTCATAAGAAGAATCATTACTTTCAGGATCTTAGATTTAATTTGATTTCTAAATTTGTTAAAGCAAAAGACAAAGAAGAAAAACAAATTTTTTCCATACCTGATCCATATAGTCTCGTTGCTTCTGAAGGAGGAGGAATGCGCCGACTCAAATCAGGTGACATGTGCTGATACATATAGAATGGGTTATATACATCATAGCTAGGTCCATGCTGGGATGAACTGGAAAGTTCTACCTTTCGATCTCCAAAAGATGCTCTGGCAGATCCTGAAAGCAAGCATTTCTAAAGTTTTACAACACCCTTTACTTGGAGTCATTAGCCAAAAGCTGGTGCACCCAAGGCAAAGGAAAAAAAAACTGTCTCAGGTAATACTAAATCACATGCAATTGATATCTTAAAAAATCAGCACATGTTTACTGAGCTCCAACTGTGTGGAGTATTCTCCCAGGAATCAGCCATGAACTCCGCTCTCAAGACATTCTAATAAATTTTTGGCATTCTTTGCCCCATAGACAATTCTATATTTTGTGACCTGAGTTTCCTTTTATTTGTCTACTTGCATAAAGAACATCTTTTAAGTAAAAAGATAATCATTTTTTGGGAGATGTACCCTTTTCACAAAGACAGAACATTTATAAAAATTGACTACATGCTGAGATACAAAGAGCAAGTCCCAATAAATTTGAAAGGATGGAAGTTATACAGAGTATGTTCTATAACCACAATGCAGTAATGTCAGAAGTCAAATAACAAAAAGATGATTTAAAAATATTATATGAAAACAAGAAGAATCAAGAATAACCAAAAAAAAAATTAAGAAGAACAAGATGGAAAGATTTGCTCTATTTGGTAGTAAGTGTAGAATATTAGCACAATAATAAGATCAATGGAACAGAATTGAAGGCCCAGAAAGAGACACCTATTTTGTGGACACTTGAATTATAATCAATGTGGCACTGCATAACAGTGGGGAAAGAATGGTTTTTCATTAAAACGTGGTAAGACAACTGGATACTGATACAGAAAAAAACCCTTTTCAACCCAACCAAACATACTCAAAACATAAAGTCCATGTGGATTGTAGATCTAAATTAAAATGTTAAAGGCAAACCAGTAAAACTATATTTAAGTAAATTTATAAGAAAATTCTCACAGCCTTTAAGCAGGAAAGCACTTCTTAAATGGAACACAGCATGAATCATAAAAACAATTTTAATAAACTTAACTACATTAAAATTGAAATTTTCCATTTGTCAGAAGACTAAGAGTAAAAAGGCAACCCACAGAGTAGGAAAAGATATGTGCAACAAATATTAACTGACAAAGGGCTCATATCCAGAATATATAAGGAACTTCCATAAATCAGTAAGAAAAAGACAGGCAAACCCAAATATAAACTGGCTTAAGACTTAGCAGGTACTTCAGAAGAGAGGCTATCCAAATAGCCAGAAAATATGACCTGGTAATCAACCTCAATAACAATCAGGGAAATGCAAGTTAAAACTCCAATGAGATACCACTACACACTCAGAGAATGGTTAAAATTTAAAAGCCTAACAACAACAAGTATTGACAAGAAAGTAGAGCAATCTGAACTATTATATTAAACTCTGCTGGTGAGAATGTATAACATCAATACTGTGGAAAAGTTTGGCAATTTCTAATAAAGCTGAACATATTTGTGCTCTATGACCCAACAATTTCATACGGGGACATACACATGACTAAAATGCTTGCATATGTGCACCAAGAGACAAGTACAGGAATGTTCATAAGCATCATTATTTGTAAGAGCCCAAAGGAAGAAAAAATAATTAAATGTTCATCAACAATAAAATAAACTGTAGTGTATACTTACTACATAAAAATAATCTTACAGTATGCTATAAAGAAACACTACTGTATATCATGCCATTTAGAATACGAAAGAATACACATACTGAAAACTAACTGAAGCTACTAACAACAATTTGAGCGAAACTCACAAACACAACGTTGAATGAAAGAACCCATGACTAAAGAATATATATAGGTCAGAACAGAAAAAAATAAATAAATAAACCACAACATTCAGGGATATGTGCTTAAGTGGTAAAAAGTAAGAATAGCAAGAAAGTGATGATTGTAACAACTGAGATTCTGATTAGAGTGACTGAAAACGGGGAAGATGGAAGCTTCTGGTTTGCTGGTAATACTCTCTTTACCTGAGTGGTGACCATACATGTATTTTACTTTGCAATAAATCACTGAGTTGAATATTTCTATTTTGTTCCTTTTTTTCTATGTATATTATACCTCACAATTTTAAATGGGTAAAGCAATAGATCAAATTCCTTTCACAGTTAACAATCACACTGGAAATAATATATAGACAAAGTTTTTTAAATGTTTAAATGATTATCATCTCTCAATTCTTTTTATCCCATTTGAAATAGAAACTACAGTATAAACTAATATTTTCTGAATTAAGGTAAACAATGAAACAGGTAGCTTCACACTGAGTTCAGAAAAGAAAAATAAAATATGTGGTTATGAAGTGAGAGCTTATTCTCACACAATGGTTCAAATACCTATGTGTACAATCTAAACACTGTACATAGGCAGAGAGGTGCCACAAGGGAAGTCTGATGCCAGAGAGCCTTATAAGGAGCCTGTATACCTTATAAGCTAACATTTATATCATTCAGACCATAAACACTGCTACAAAAGTCTGTTTATGGTAACAAGAGTAGTAATGTCAAGCGTAGTAGCATCAAAGATGACTCACTACCTTTATAGGTTATCCCTAAAAAAAGAATATCCCGATTTCATTTTTCCTTTACAAGTAAGCCACCAAAGAATTCCAATTTTCCCCTTAAACAACATACAGTGATATCATTTTTAAAGTTCAAGAGGAATTTCCCTCAATTTACAAAACCACAATCCTATAAAAACTAAATGTAAAGTAGCACAATCGCTTATACCTCTCAGAAGCCCAATTAGATATTTCAATATTTATTCAAAATGCATTCTCTTAATGAATAGGTAGCTAGATATGTGATAAAGGAAGCCCAGTCAAATGTTAATAATACATTCTCTGTTATCAAAGCAGTAAGCTGCAGCTATAATCAGACCTATCAGCAAGTAAGGAACGGAACATAACAAATTTCAAATACCTGAGACATAACTTTAGTTATTATTGATAGTCTTCTGCCCTATCTTCTCAGAATCTCCATGTCAGCCAATCATTCACACATTCATATGTACATACAACATACACATATTTGACTTCTATAATTAGATACTAAGAATACTTTCTTGACTTTAATGAAATATAGTAATCTTCTCTCCAATTTGCTAAAAATCAGATGGTTTTACCACATCTTCAGTGTGCCTATAACTTAGGTGTAAATCAATCTCTCACTTATTCAACTCAACAAGTACTGTTTCCTAGTGACACAATGAAAAAAAAGAAAAAAAGAAAAATTATCATATATTGCCAGGTAGGTATTTCTTATTTATTTCCTGATAATGAAAATAATACATAAAATATCCTATATGTCTAAGAATAGAGAATTCATTAAATAAATTATGGTGCATCCATATGATTTAGTACCATGGAGCCATTAAAAAGCTCCATATATGATATGAATAAAACAGATTACAAGGTCATTTATATGGTTTAATTCCAATATTGTTAACAAGTACAAAAGAGAAAGATCAGTTGATCAGGGTATCCTGTGAGCCAGAACTTTTAAAAACTGTTTTTGAGAGACATTGCTTATATGTGCAAAACAATGTGGTAAGCCAGGCACAGGATTTATCTTTGTTTCTTAAAAAAAATATATATATATATATCATTCCTACCAGACCCAACTCTCTGGAAGATAACAATAAACCCGAGACCAAAACCAAAACAAACAAACAAAATACCCTGAAGGCACTGGAGAGTGAACAAAAGTAGTGAGGGTTCTGAACAGCACTTGACTCTGGGAAAAAAGGGAATGGCTACCAGTTTTTAATGACTTTTAGCCTGAGGGCTGGCCAAAATTGGCACTGTGCATGATGGATAAAATTCCAATAGAAAATCTACAATCTTTCTGGCCTGAAGAACCAGAGGGCAGAATCAGAGCAACCAGAGCAGCTAGAAAGCAAGGTGGGAATCCTCAATGGGAGAAAACCCCAAAGTTTGTGATAAAAGTCTACTCAAATATCTGGCTGATCCCTGAACCACACATGTATGGGACAACTAAAGATAAAAGAACTAAACTTAGATAGCAGCTGCCACCAAAGATAGAATATGCACGACAGTCCAACCAAGTTAACGTGCCTGGTGAAAGAAGAAAGGAAGGAAGGGAGGAAGGAAGGAAGGAAGGAAGGAAGGAAGGAAGGAAGGAAGGAAGGAAGGAAGGAACCCTCTCAGAGTAATATAACAGATTCCAGAGTCTTCACAACATAACATCCAAAATCCAGAATACAATCCAAAATTACTCCACATGCAAAGAAATGGGAAAATGTGACTCATATTCAAAAAAAGGGGTAATCTACAGAGTCCAAATCTGGATGATCCAGACGTTAGAGTAGTAGACAAATATGTTAAAACTAAAAGACATAAAAGAAAATAGGCTTATGATAATGGTGGGGAAAAAGAAATCACAGCAAAGAAAAGAAACTATAAAAAAAAAAAACCCAATGTAAATATTACAACTGAAAAAACACACCTGGAATAAAAAACTCACTGGATGGGCTTATAGCTGAATGGAGATAATGGAGGAAAGAGACAGTGAACTTGAAAATAGATCATTATATCCAATCTTAAGAATAGAGAGGAGGAAAAAGTTGAGGGGGAAAAAAAAAGAAGTCTCATAGACACATAAAACAACATCAAGAGGTCCAACATATGTATAATTGGCATCCCAGAAGACAAGAGAGAGGATGGGCAGAAAAAAATGTTTAAAGAAATATTGTAGATCTTGATAGAAGTTTGGAATACACTATGTTATATCCATTTGTCAAAACTCAACAAACACACACTTAAAACTTGGACAGTTCACTGTGTGTAAAGGTTTATGTCAAAAGAAGAAAACTGTGCACAACTGAACTCTAGTAAATGATACATATATGCTTCAGTATTTACAGGGAAGTGTACTGATGCCTGCAGTTTACTCTGAAATGCGTTCTCATCCTGCCCCTAAAAGAATTAAAAATGGTTCGAAGAATGGATAGATATGTGATAAACTATGTATAGTAAAATGTTAATGATAGAATCTATGTGATGGATATACAGGTGTTCACCATTAAGTTCTCTATTATAGTTCAACTATTCTGTACGTCTGAAATTTTTCATAATAAAATTTTGAGGGGAATAAACCATTGTGACTGACAGTGTTTCAATGAACTAAAACAAATTATTTCTAAAATACACAAGTACATGTTATTTCCTCTTATCTTCATTATTCCACTGGCTCTACAACATCAGCCAAAATTCAGCCAATGAATCTACCTCATTCAAATGGTTACTTAGACTGGGAAGTGTATTTAGACTGAGAAGTAAAACAGTGAAGAAAGAAGGGAAGGAAGAAAAGACAACTTCATTGTTTCCTTATTGCTTTTAACACTAAATTTTAGAAAATAATAAATAAGAATATTTCCTATATTTACTCATCAAATACAGAATAATTCCTCTATTTTTTTCTAGATGTGTAAAAGATAACTGACATACCACAATTATGTTATTTTTTAGAAAGAGGCCAAATCTACACACAAATGTGTTGATTATGATCAGATTTCATAGTGGGACCCTTCAAAAACACTGTACATTAAGTTCCTCTACAGAAAGAGCAAAACACAAAAAAATGAAATGTAAAATTTGTATACAAAATATTTCATGTTTATATATGTAAATGAGCAAAATAAGAGCAATAACAGTATTTAAATACTGCATGTTGATTTTTAAATCCTGCCATCTTACTGTTTACCTTGAAGTTCTTCCAGATGTGAAGGAGTTCCTTGCATCTTGGGCTGAATATATGATAACTTAAACTTGGGCACCACAAATGGTACTTCTTTGCCATCAGATGGTAATTTGGAAAGTAAATAATCCTCAGTACAGCCAACCTGAGGCTTTACAGAAACGGAAGTCAATGGAGGTATACAGATAGTAGTATTTTGACTATTTGATACTTTAAAGTCTCTTTCCGTGTATACTGCATATAAAAGAAGAGAAAAAAGAAAAAGAAAAAATTTCAAATATGCGTGTAGATTTATATATAATAATCTAAACCTAACATGCTTTGGTATTTATTTATTTTAAAAGAAACTGCTAACACATTAACTACTCTTGGGTCCTATTAAGCATTCTGGAATCTACATTAATTCTGTTCAGCCAATATCTGAGAAGTTAATATATTATTGCCAAAGTATATTAACTTATATAATGGTAAAAGCCGTTTTTAAAGAGTCTCATTTCCACAAAAGAGTTCACAGATGAAAAACAAGTTTATTTTGTAGTTAATTTCACAATGCTTTTAAGTAATAATCTAGTCATTTAAAAATGTTGTCAACACAGCAATTCTAGTTGTCAATACTAATGGTTAATTTCAGTCTTAAGTATCAAAGCAATTCTGAAAAGAAGCTAAAGGTCTCCAAGTCTACAAAAATCTTCATCAAATCACAAAATAAAATGTACTCTGACCCTAATATAATATCAACTCTCCCTATGCTAGCTTTTATGATCTATTTTGTTCATTATCCTGAATGATACATGATTCCTAAACTGCATGACTTCAGATGGGGAGGTAAGGGACACCCAGAGGGAATCTTTATGTACAATTAGTACCATCTGTAGACTGAATGAAAGTACAACTACTATCGTGTTGGAATTTATGACATGTTTTATTGCAAAAAAAAAAGAAGCCTTCATACTCAAATATCCTAGGAAGCTAATGCTTTAGATTAAGAAATATAAGAAAAAGCCAGAAAAAAAAAAGTTCCAGTCATATCTGTGAAGAGATGCAACAGAAAGGGAAATCTCCAGGTGTCCTTGATAAACGTGGGTCTTGATAAAGTTATAGGTCTCTTCTCCATTGGTCATTCAGTAATTAAAGGCACTTTTTAATGAATTGTTTGTAAATTGGGAATTATCTTTACTTAAACTAAAATATTTGCCAGAATATGTTATCCTCCAAACACACCAAAAACTTCTCTCCCTACTTTTGCTTAGACTATTTCATCCACCTGTAATACTCATGTCCAGTCCTCACCTTCTCTTACTTCCTTCTTCCCACTCAGCTTGCTAAAATCCTTTTCAGACTTCCATACCACATGCCATCTCCTTTGTGGTGATGTGTTAGAGCGTCTCCTGGGTTGAATTAATCTTTCTCCCCTATGCTCCAGGGTACTTTCATACTTACCTACTGTGCCTTATATTTATGTTTCTGCCTCCCCCATGAAGTTAGGAAATATGTCTCATTTATATTTATATTATACAATGCCACAAATAAAGATATTAAATAAATGTTTGCTGAAATCAGAACAAAGCAAAACTCACAGTTGTGCTTTTCTGTTTCACCATAGAAACATCCTCTACAGCAACTCTTTATAAATTCCGTTGCCATTACATTCAATTTCCAATATCCAGTAAAAGATACAAACTTCCAATTTTAATATTAATCTGTTGGTAGAATAGAAAACAAGTTAACATGAACATGTTTAATGTCATTTGGTATTACTAAATAAATCATATTATCTGTCTTTCTAAGACATAATGAGGGCTCCAAAGCAAAAACATTTAGAGGAAGATAGATTTTTGTTCCTTTACATAATTTTATATAACCTAGGCTCCTTATAAGTTATTAAAATTCTTAAATATTACTAAATGAACAATCTCAATGTTAAATCTGAAGAAAAGAAAAATTCCACTCTCAATTTTCTTTCAACTGGTATACCTAAATCAATGTCCAAATAAAATTTACAAGAAAATACAGCACTCATTAAAAATGTGACAAAAATTGCACGTCCTCCAAATCAATTCTTTTGGTAATCCAAAGGCCCTATAATGAGGTCCAATAAACAAATAGCTTCATACTTCATGAATTAGTTTAATGCTGAGAATTACATTAACAGAAAAATATATTTTAAACTCTGTCTCTCTCTCTCTCTCTCACACACACACACATACACACACACACAAAGATACCAGCTAACTAAACCACAAATAAGATATAGCAGAAATAAAGAGTCTGTTTTAAATTTACTAGGAACATAATTGTATAAGAAGCCAACTGTCCACCTTGGCTTCAATGACTTTTTTCCAAATGCACTCTCTTCATTTATGCCTATTTAAACTGTACATTTTTCATGGAAAATTTCAAATGTATACAAAAGAAGAAAGAATAGTGTAACAAAACCCCTATCACCCAAACTAAACAGTGATGAACTCACAGCAAGTCTTAATTCATCTTTACCTCTCTACTTACTCTGTCCTTTGGGTTATTTTGAAAAAAATTCCAACAATTTCACCCATAAATATTTAAGTAATTATCCCTAAAAGATGTAGCAGAAGGACTCTGGAGTTAACTTTAAGGGGTTCTACTGGCTAAACATGGATCAAGTTGAATATAAAGACAAACAGTAACTGTAATGGACTGCAACATATTAAATATTTCTAAAAGGTACTCCACTTTTTTTTAACATAACCATAATATATCTATACAATAGATAAACAAGATGATACTGTATAGTACAGGGAAATATATACAAGATATTGTGGTAGCTCACGGTGAAAAAGTATGTGACAATGACTATATGTATGTTCATGTATAACTGAAAAATTGTGTTCCACACTAGAAATTGACACATTGTAAACTGACTATAACTCAATAAAATAAAATTTAAAAAAACATAACCATAATAGCATTATCACATCTAAAAAATTTAAGATAATTAACTACACAATGTTCAAACTTCCTCTGAAAATATGGTGAAATTTCTTACAGTTGTTTTCTTCAAATCAAGATCAAAGTTTGGATTGTTTCCAGTCTTCTATTATTAGAAATAGTGACACAATAACTTTGTGCACACATATTTTCAGATATTTCCAGTATATATCTGTAAGACAGATTCCTAGGATGTTGATTCTTCCTATCCAGAATATTTGTTTAAGTTTATGTTTGTATCTTGGGGAGTTTTTTTTATAGTTTTCCTCATAAATTTTGAATTTTCTTGTTAAGTGTATGCCTATAAAATTTGTTTGGCTAAATGGCAACTTTTCTTCCATTATATTTTGCAATTAATTTGTTTTTTTTAATTTATACCTTTAAAAAAGCCCTTTTCAGTCTCAGTTTAGAGGATCTATTCCCTGACCACCCAGATCACACTAATTTCTCACATTTCTAAATATCTAGTGAATTAAAAAAAAAAGTTTTTCACTTTTCTTGACATTTCATGACCCCTGTTCTATCTTTCCTGCTACAATTTTTCAGAAACAATATTTTACTCACTTTCTACTGAACACTCAGCACCCTGTATGATGCTGGGACTATAGCAGGAGCTCAGCAAATATGGAGTAGATAAGGAAGCAAAGTACAATAACTACCTTATATAAAAACTCCTAACATACTCATCAAACCGCATTTCTGACCCTAGTCAGCTTGCAAATACTTTATATTAATCATGAGGGGAATGTGAGAGAACTGGTTAAAAATTTTCTGGGGGAAAAGTCTTCAAAGTTGATGGCCTTGGGTCATCAAAAATGAACTGGAAAAGATAGGAGAGGGACACAGAAAAGGAAAACAGTTCATATGAATAAGAATAGGCAGCTAGAGTTTGTATGACAGACTATTGGAGAGTAGAGAGGTGTACACACAGAGAAGCACAGACATCAGCAGAGGCTCCCACTCAAGTATTAAGCAGAGTATTGATGAGAGCATGCTTGTGAGGAAACTACACAAGACTCGGGGGAAGACCACCAGAAAAGGTTACAAAAACCATAACCAACACTCATCAAGGTTAGTAACAATGCCTGCCCCCACCAACCAAACTGGGAAAACCTCACATATGTTATTGAGTAGAGTACTCAGAGGGTCTTGCCTCAGTGATGGAGAATAAATAACCCCAAACTGAACACTAGTCCATTGCCTAACAAACCTTAAGAGCAAGACTGAAGAGGATAAAGCTATTTCCAAGAAACCTATGCCCCAAAGCAAAATAATAATCATAAAAATATAAAAGTATATATCATACAAGGTAAAATTCACAATGACTGGTAGCATCTAATAAAAAATTATCAGACATGCAAAGAAGAGGAAAAAAATAATGAAGAGAAAAATCAATCAATTGGAACCAACACAAATGAAATGGACAATTAAGGCCATCAAACAGTTATAAGCGATTCTATGTGTTCAAAAAGTTAAGCAGAAACAACTTTTGTATCTTGGAAGATACAAGAAAAAAGACACATACCCAACTTCTAAAGATGAAACTGTAATATCAGAGATGGAAAATACACTACATGGGATTAATAACAGATTAGATATTGCAAAAGAAACAATAAAGGACATTAACAAGAGAAGCTATCCCAAATGAAACACAGAGAGAAAAAAGAAAAAAAAAAAAAACGAAAAGAGCATCTGTGAACCATGGGACAATTTCAAGCAGCCTAACATATATGTAATTGAAGTCCGTGAAGAAGATGGGGGGAGGCAGAAAAAATATTTGAAGAAATAATAATATTTTCCAAATATGATACCTACAAATTTCAGGTCTAAGAACCTCCACAAACACTAAACTCAGGAAATAGGAAGAAAACCATGCCAAGGCACATCATATTAACATGGCTCAAAATCATGATGAAGAGGAAATTTTAAAAGCAGCTGGAAAAAAAAAGGCATGTTATATACATAGGAACAATGATAACAGCAGCAGCATGGTTCTCACTGGGAACAATACAGGTAGGAAAAGGATGGAACAAAATCTTCAAAGCAGTAAAAGAAAAAAAACCTGTCAACATTGAATTTGACACCTGCAGAAAATCCTTCAAAAACGGAAGCAATAAAAAGACTTTTTCAGACATAAAAAAACTAAAAAAAGTACCACCATCAGATACACATTACAAGAAGTATTCAAGGACATCCTTCAGACAGAAGAGTGATACCAGATGAATTACAAATCTACACACAAGAAATTAAGAGTACCATTGATATAAATACATAAGATTTATTATAAGAGATTGTTGATGCTTAGACAAAAATAACAACATGGTGATATGGGGTTTATAGCATTACAGCAATAGCACAAAGGCCAGCAGGGAGAAATAGAGTATTCTATTGTAAGGTCCTTGTAGTAGATGTGATGTGGTATATATGTAACACCATTTGAAGGTAGACTATGCAAAGTTAAAAATATGTACTATAAACCCTAAAGTAATCACTAAAATAAGAAAACAGAGGTACAGTTAATAAGCCAATAAAGGAGATCAAATGGAATCACACCCAAAAATACTCAATTAATATAAAAGCATAAAAAGAAGAAAGAGAAAACAAAGAACAGATGGGATGAATAAAAAACAAATAACAAGATGGCAGACAAGGAGGAACAAAGAAGTGGGATGAATAGAAAAGAGCAAGATGATTGATTTAAACCTAACCGTATCAATAACCACATTAATTGGAAATGCTCTACACATGCCAACTAAAAGGCAGAGATTGTGAGACTGGATGAAAAAGCATGACCCAAGTATATACAGCTTAGAAGAAACATACTTTAAATATAAAGATACAAATAAGTTAAAAGTAAAACGATGAATATCCCTCATGGATATAGATACAAAAATCTTCAAAATAAGAGCAAACTGAATCCAGCAAATTATAAAAAGAATTATAAATCATATTCAAGTGAGATTTATCCCAGGATTGCAAGGTTGGTTTAACATCAGAAAATCAATTCACATTATATCATACAATAAAGTACGAAAACTACATAACATAATGAAGAGTATCTATGAAAAATCTACTGTTAACATCATAACAGCTAAAAGACCTGAAAAAATGCACATAAAAACATGTTCAGTACCATTATTTGTTAAGGAAATGCAAATTAAAACTACAATGACATAATACTATACACTCATTAGAAAAGATGAAATTGCAAAGACTGACCATTCCAAGTATTTATAAGCATATGGAACAAGTAAAACTCTCATATTCATCTGGTGGGAAAATAGTTTGGCAATTTAAGTTGAACATGTATCTGCATATGATCCAGACATTTCATTCTGAGTATTTACTCAAGGAAAAAGGAATCTTACGTTCATACAAAGCATGGTGCACCAGTATTCATAGCATCTCTATTTGAAACAGACAAAAACCAGAAACTATCAACTGTCCATCAACAAGCAGATGAACAAATTTTGGTATACCTGTACAATAAGATACTAATCAGCAATAAAGGAATAAGTAATCTATGGATTGGTGTCTTCCCATCACTACTGGCAGATTTTCCGGTATGAAAAATTCTCATTATTTCTTCTAATTGTTTATTGCTTCTGCTGATTCTCGTTCAGGTGGTCTTATTTCCTTGTGCACTTGGTTTTCTTTGACAAATTAACCACTGACCTCAAAACTTTACTAGTTGGACTTTTTTAGGCCAAAGATTAAAGTATATTTCTACAGAGAA